GGGTGCGTGCGCTCACTGGAAAGACAGAGAGAGACAGAGAGACAGAAAGTGAGAAATCACCCCCCAGGGGGGATGGCCAAGCTACAATCCCTTCTCCTCCATTCTCCTCTCGGGATCTTTGGCATTCATGCACACGTGCCCAGTGTGAATTTAAGCCACAGGGTCCAGGACTCGAACCGCGGTGGGCTACATGGGAGTTCAGCGACATAGCCCTTACGCTAACTGCTGGTCCCTACATGGGGAATTTTAAGGCCTGGATTTCTGACAGCTTCTCCAAACTCTGCCCTCCACTCCTCTCACCAGGTCTCTGTGTGACCCTGGGTTAATCACTTACCCTGTCTGAATCTCTTCTGCGTGGGCGCCAGGACTGCGTGAGGATTTAAGGAGGCACAGAATATGAAAAGGCTTGGACACTGATTTCCCACTGTCCTGTTGGTTCACAATGCAGCGGATGCCAGTTCTCGTGTAAATTCCCGGTCATTTCCTTTTCTATGAGAGTAAATCAAACCAGAAAAAGCAGAGCAGAGCAACCCAAACCTGTCTGAAAGTCACACGTGCCTGTGAGAAAGCAGGACTCGTCTCAATAAGCACATCAGTGAAGGGCCTGGAATGAAGATCGGGGGCCCCCTTAGGGGCGCAGAGACAGCGGTTAGGATTCCTTCCGCAGCCATTTCCTCTGACGTTTTTGTTCAGGTGGTTACAAACACGCTGCCTCTGTGTGCTCCGCCTAAGATCTAGCAGGCTCAGGGAAGTTCTGAACGCATTGGTCAGCTGTCCTCGGTATCTGTGGGCATGGTCTTCTCCCTCTTGCTGAGGGCTAGCTGTCATGATCAGCACATCCGTGAGGAAGGGGGCAGGGGAGAAAGGCACCAGGCAGAACTGGGGTAGCTCAGGTCTTTCCTGGGCTCCCAGAACTCATCCTCCGGCCTCTGCGTTAGGGTGATCTCTGTCATATGTTAGGGCAGCCTTGGTCACAGGCTGTGAGAGAATTCGCCAACTCAGAGAGAAAGCGGATAGAAAAGAATGCATTCAATTTCCAGCAGCGGCCAGGGGCCAGGTGTGGAGAGTAGCGTTGGCCCTGAAGGGTGGGGACAAGACACATTTACTGGGACTTGAGAAAAGGAAGCTGTGGCTGGACAATTAGGGTGATTCTCGGACAGGTGCCTGTTGGTCTTTCATGGTCTCTGGACTATTCCATCGGTATCTCTAGTTGTCGTGTCTAACCTCTTTGATCTGCCATATAATTGGAGGTTTGTTAATGTTGTAGTGTCAGCACATCCAGGTCTCAATTGCTATTTCTGAAGGTAGAAACTTAGTAAAATAAGTCAGGGACCAGCAGGTGGCATAGTTGTTGGGGCGTTGGCTTCCCACACAGTCAGCTACAATTCGAGTTCCAGACCCAGCAACTTGAAAATCACTCCAGGCCAGTGTGCATGTGTGCCCAGAGTTCCAAGAGGAGAGGATAGTAGAGAAGGGATTGTGGTGTGGCTATCCTCCCTAGGGGGTGTTTTCTCACTTTCCCTCTCTCAGTCTCTCTGCAGCCAGTGCATGCGCCTTATGGCAAAAACTTTTTTTTTTTTGAGAGATTTTTGCTATAGGGTGCGTGCGCTCTCCAGAAAGACAGAGAGAGACAGAGAGACAGAGAGACAGAAAGTGAGAAATCATTCCCCACGGGAGATGGCCATGCCGCAATCCCTTCTCCCCAATGTCCTCTCAGGATCCTGGGCACGCACGCACATGCACCTGGTGTGAGTTTAAGCTACTGGGTCCAAGACTCGAACTGTGGTCGACTACGTGGGAGTCCAGCGACATAGCCATTACGCCATCTGCTGGTCCCCAGCAAAAACTTTAACAAAAAAACAAAAACAAAAACAAAAGTTTGCCATATGCGGTGAGGTGAAGCTAGTGGTGAAAAAAAGGGAGGAGGAAAAAGAATGCTTTTTTTTTTCCTTTTTTAAAATTTAAAAAGATTTTATTCATTTTTAAAATTTCATTTCATTTCAGCCACTATACAGCACTACAGCTTATAAAGTGAATTTACCCAACATGAATACAATTCACACCAGCCCAGTTGGAGAGACCACACACGTTACCATCAACAGGTAATCCTCCATTTCTGTGTCCAATAAATGTCTGCCTCTCTATTTTTCTCCTTGACTCCTTTCCTCACACTCTCCCTCATCTCCCACCCTCTTCCCACACTGTCTCTAGAATTCATAACCATATGTATTTATTTTTGAAAGAATTATTTCATTTAACTTTATTTATTTATTTTTTAAATTTGACCAGAGATAAACAGAGTAAGAGAGAGAGAGAGAAAAACTAAGAAAACAAGCCACCAGTTCCAGGACTTGAACCACTGTCAGCCATGTGGGAGTCCAGCGCTGTTAACCACCAAGCCACCTGCCGGCCCCCCATAACCATGTTTAAAGCACTTGAGTCAGGCATGGTAGCATCTGCCCTATAGTAAAGCACTTGAGTCTTTCATTTTAAGGTTTTTTCTTTTTTAATTTTTTTTTTAAGTGGTTAACATAGAGCATGTGAGCTCACTTGCTGGCCCCTGACTTTTGTTTTTCTAAGTTTCTACCTTCAGAAATAGCAATTGAGACCCGGATGTGCTGACACTACAGCATTAACAAACCTCCCAAAGTAGTCAGACACGGCAACTAGAGATGCTGATGGAATAGTTCAGAGACCATGAAAGACCAACAGGCACCTGTCCGAGAATCACCCTAATTGCCCAACCACAGCCTTCTTTTCTTTCTTTCTTTTGTTTTTTTGAGAGAGATTTTTGCTACAGGGTGCATGCGCTCACTGGAGAGACAGAGAGACAGAAAGCGAGAAATCACTCCCTGAGGGGAGATGGCCACACAGCAATCCCTTCTCAGCAATCCCTTCTCCTCCAGTCTCCTCTCAGGATTTTGGACATGCACACACACGTGCCTGGAGTGAGTTATAAGCCGCAGGCCTGGGACTCAAACTGTGGTCAGCTATGTCCAGCTCTCCTTTTTCTTTTTCTTTCTTTCTTTTTTAAAAATTTTAAAAATTAATTTGTTTATTTTGAGAGGTTTTTGCTACAGGGTGTGTGTGCTCGCCAGAAAGACAGAGAGAGACAGAGAGACAGAAAGCGAGAAATCACCCCCTGGGGGGATGGCTACGTAGTAATCCCTTCTCCTCCATGCTCCTCTTGGGATCTTGGGCACGCACACACATGCTCCCGGTGTGAGTTTAAGCCACCAAGTCTGGGACTCAAACCGTGGTTGGCTATGTCGGAGTCCAGTGACATAGCCATTATGCCAACTGCTGGTCCCCAGCCCTCCTTTTCTTAAGTCTCAAAAACTGTTCCTTGTCCCCACCCTTCATCTCACCAGAGAGATACAGACAGGGTAAGTGAGAAATCACCCCCCAGGAGGACGACTCAACAATCCCTTTCCTTCCACTCTCCTCTAGGGATTTGGGCACACTCATACATGTGTCCAGTGTGATTCTCTAGCCACTGGGTCTGGGACTTCAGCTGTGAAGCTGGCCATGTAGAGTCCAGTGCCTTAACCTCCATGCCTAAGCCCCTAAGACCTGGGAGTTTTAATGAGTCTTCCCCATTAAGGCATCAATGAATCAACTCAGGGCCAAGGAGACATTGAGACAGAGTTAACCCTTTCGTGTCTTAAGGTGCTTGGGTGACTTTTAACCCTTTCATTCTGTTCCGTCTCATGTCGATGCCAAGGTTCCTAAGGCAATCAGACACCACGATGGCTTGTCAGCAAAGTCACCCCGTTGGCCCCAGCACTCACTTAAAGCTAGGCAGGAAAAGTCTTGGGGGCACCTGGGCTTGGGGGCAGTCGGTATACTTCGTTACCCCAGTTCCTCCTGCCTGTGTCTCCTTTTCTGGAGAGACCTGGAAGTTGTTGGGAGGTGTGACAGCCCCCTCTCCAGACAAGACACTTATTTTTCTGACTAGTCAAAACTAAAGGGTGGGGGCTGGCAGGTGGTGTGGTGGTTAAAGGCTGGCTATGATTTGAGTCCCAGACCTGGCGGTTTGCTTTCTCACTTTCTCTCTCCCTCTCACGCTCTCTCTGTCTATTTATATCTATCTATCTATCTGTCTATCTATGTATACATCTGATCAAATTAAAATAAATAAATAAAGTTAAAATAAAAGAATTCTTTAAAAAAAAAAACAAAAAACTTAAGGGCAGGGCCAGCAGGTGGCATAGTGGTTAAGGCACTGGACTTCCACCTGGCCAACCGTGGGTCGGGTCACGTTCTGGATCTATTGGCTTGCTTTCTCACTCCCCGCCCTCTCATCTCTCTCTCTTTGTCTCTCCCTGGTGAGTGCATGTACTCTATGGCAAATTTGAAAATAGTAGTAATTGGGAACCAGCAGTTAGCGTAATGGCTATGTCGCTGGACTCCCACGTAGTTGACCGCGGTTCGTGTCCTGGACCGGGTGGCTTAAAACTCACACCGGGCGCGTGTGTGTGCGTGCCCAAGATCCCGAGAGGAGAATGGAGGAGAAGGGATTGCGGCGTGACCATCCCCCCTGGGGGGTGATTTCTCGCTTTCTGTCTCTATGTCTCTCTCTGTCTGTCCGGTGAGCGCACATGCCCTATAGCGAAAATCTCTCCAAAAAAGAAAAAATTAGTAATAATGATAAACAAAACTAAATAAATGATTCTTTAAAAAACAAAAACTGAAGGGGAAGGGAATTCGATTCTGGTACATGGTTCCCAAAAGCACACATTCAGACTCGCAGTAGCATGCAGCACTGACTTTATGGACCATAGTCAGGCTCCGTGAATATTCCTCCTTGAGCTCTAAAATGCAGGAAATAATTCCTCATGTTCCTGCTGCTTCATCACCTCCTCAGGGTCCTATGAAAATGACTGCTGATGAGCCCCATCCTGGCAAGGCCTCACCAAACAAGGATATTGCTCTGTCTCTCAGAGACCCATGTGCTCAATCCAGGCAGCAGAGAACCCATCAAAGTATCCAGTGGAACCCTCAGTGACCGTGGAAGAGGCAGAAAAGGAAATCGCCCGTGCCCTGTTGAATTCCAGGAAGCCATGGTTGTTAGAAACAAGCCAGAGAGAAAGCGGATGTAAGAGGCTCTTGCCCAAAGGGAGGCCAGCCCAGCTACTCTCTACCTTTCCGGCCTGTAGTATTTTCTTCACATCCCTTATCCACATAGCAGTGAGCCTCTTTCTGTCATTATTAGTGTGTGTGCATGTATGCACACGTGAATGCACATGTGTGTGTGTGCGCCAGCACATGCTCACATGCTCTTCTGTGGCTCTGAGCATTTTGTTACAGCTGAACTCCAGGCCTCTCTGAACGTGACTGCCTGTCTCGCTTCTTACTGCCTGTCCTGACTCCAGGCTGCCGCCTCCCTGGCTCTGTTGGATTTCCCATCTTTCCACGTGAAGGTGCTGGAATGTCCAGAGAGGCCCTGATGCTCCAGCTGCCCCTGAGCAAGGGCTCAGAAACCAAAGGTGGCCTGGAGGCTGAGGCGGCCTGAGCCCTGAGCCATGCAGCCCCAGGCGCCTGTCTGCTTGGGCTTTATCTTGGTGTTCGCTTTCTGCTCTTGGCTTCGCCAGGCTGCTTTCAGGTGCTGAGTGCTGCAGGCTGCTGTGCTTTCCCCTTTCTGGCTGGGGGCAGTAAGCAAGCCTGGCCAGAGATAAGAGAGGAATGAGGAAGAGGTGGTGCTGGGCAGGCTGCCTCCAGCAGCTCCCCCAGGTGGGGAGCCCTTGGGAGAAATCCATACCCCCTTCTTCCCCAGGGGCCCTCTAGGAGGCAGCCTGAAGATGCATGCCTGACCTCTGGTCCTGGCAGCTCCTCCCCAACCTTCCACTTCCCCTTGCCCCACAGCTCTGTGGGCTGAGTGGGGATTGGTGACCAGCCAATCGGTTACTTGTCGCATATGGGAGTGAACCCAACTGGTGCCATCTTGTGCCCCTTTATTCTTCTGTGTCCTGTAGCAATATTTTATTATACTACCCCTGAGTTAAATTCTTTTCTTTTCTTTCTTTTTTGGAGAGGTTTTTGCTATAGGGTGTGTGCGTTTGCCAGAAAGACAGAGAGAGGTAGAGAGACAGAAAGTGAGAAATCACCCCCAGGGGGGATGGCCACGCTGCAATCCCTTCTCCATTGTCCTCTCAGGATCTTGGGCACACACACACACGTGTCCGGCGTGAGTTTAAGTCACCGGGTCCAGGACTCGAACAGCGGTCAACGACATGGGAGTCCAGAGACATAGCCATTACGCCAACTGCTGGTCCCTCTGCAACTTAGTTTTCCTCCTTTTTAAATCATTATTATTATTATTTGATTTGACCAGAGCGTGACAGAGAGAGAGAGAGAAATAAGAAAGCAAGTCACCAGGTCCATGTGGGAGTCCAGTGCCTTTAACAACCACACCACCTACTGGCCCCCCAGTTTTCCTCTTTTGCAAAAGGGGGTTTAAGAGTTTCTAGTTATATGGGATCAGCAGATGGAGTAATGGCTATGTCGCTGGACTCCCACGTAGTCGACCACAGTTCGAATCCCAGACCTGGTGGCTGAAACTCACGCCAGGCACTTACGCGTGTGTGCCCAAGATCCCGAGAGGAGAATGGAGGAGAAGGGATTGCAGCGTGGCCATCCCCCCTGGGGGGTGATTTCTCGCTTTCTGTCTCTCTGTCTCTCTCTCTGTCTTTCTGGCGAGCGCACGCGCCCTATAGCCAAAACCTCTCCAAAAAAAAGAAAAGAGTTTCAAGTTACTCAAGAAGACGGGTACCTCACACAAAGAATGGAAGTCAGGGTTGTGTCGCATGAATGTACTGCCTCTTTTTTTTTTTTTTTTTTTTTTATGGTTTGCTATAGGGGCCATGTACTCATCAGAGAGACATAGGCGGAAGTCAGAAATCACCCCCTGGGGGGATAACCACACTACAATCCCTTCTTCTCCACTCTCTTTTTAGGATTTCGAGTATGCATACACATGTGCATGGTGTGTTGTTCAACCTGCTGGGTATCGGACTAGGGCTGCACAGTCAGTCATGTAGGATCTAGCCACATTAACCACTGTGCCACCCAGCTGGCCCCTGCCTCTCTAAACATGTACAGA